AGTGCACTGCTAGCTTCACTTCCACCTCTACGTCGCCCTGCGCTCCTTAGACGTACCTCTACCGCTACCCCGGCGCTGCTGACGCGGTCGTGTCCGCCGTAGTGCACCACTGTGCGCTCGATCGCACGTGGACGGCCTCGCTCGGGCAGTCCCCGGCCGTACCATCACCTTGGCTAGGTCCACAGTGAGCCCCTGCTGCTCGCATGCTAGCTGGTTAAGCTGGTAGCTATCCTAGTTCACTAGAACCGTTGCGTCGCCATCGTGGATGACCGCGTGCCGCTACAGCCTTCCCTAGTGAGCCCCACCACCCCTCACCACCACTTAGCGTAGTCATCTAGGTCAGAGATGGCAATCGACCTGTTAGATAGGCTCGCGCAGGTCCCAGGTGGTCAGCGTAGTCACTCGGTGCCGCCGCTCGCCGCACCGCCATGCATAGAGTTATCGAGGGTGTGCGCGGGTGAATTAGGAAAAACTCAGGCGGTTAAATAAATTCACCAGAGAGAGGAAGAAATAGTGTTAGGACTTAAGTGTAGTTCGAGAGAAGTTTGAGGTCTCTTTTGCGAAAACGCCAGCGCGCGCGGGCTCCCCCAACGCGGGCCGCCTCACGGGTGGGCCGATACCACGTGGGCCACATCCGTGGGCCATTTCACATGCGATGGAATTCGTTTTTCTTTTTCCTAGGAAATTAGTAATGGTTTTCTAATTTAATTTTTGAGCTGATCTTTGATAATTAATATAAAATCGTGTAGGTGTCCAAAAATTGTGAAAGAAATTTTGTTAGGTTCTTAAAATTATGGTCTATCTGTTGGTGTATTTAGTTCATACTTATAAGTGTTGATATTAGGAGCTATTAAATCATTTGTGAATGCTTAATATTATTAAGGTAATTATTGTAGGAATTTTTGTGGTAGATTGGTAATAGCTTTAGTTCTAAATTTTTTATGGTAGCTTCATTGTATTATTATGTGCTCACTGTAATTTTTGTAGCCTTTGAATAGACTAAGCATTAGGGTAGTTAAATGCTCTTTATTTTAATATACATTAAATCACTAGTTGAAATAAAGATATATCCTTAATTTGCCAAGCTAAGGGTTTGTTAGTTGAACCCAACACTTTGCTTGATGAAGATGATAGTTAGCTTAGTATCTTAGTCATTAAAGCTAGCTTAGTAGGTTGGTGTGCGTATTCTTATTTTAAGAGTTGTTGTTGCCTAAATACTGAATTGTTGCATCATCATCATCGCATGCATATAGAGAATGAGTCGGCGGAGATTGTGACTACAGGCGATCACAAGTTCGAGGAGATCGTCGAGAAGTACGACGAGGAGATTCTCGTGTAGGAGAAGGTCCCGGAGCCGCCACTGACTGACTCAGCTGACACCACGCTTGTCCAAGGCAAGTCCCGGTGCATAACTCTTATTTTTATAATCACTATATGTATATATGTGATGTGCATTTATGTTACAGGAATTTTATAGAAACCACATGCATAGATATATCTATCCTATGAGTCTTACTAGTGTAGGTTCGAGTAGCTGCTATGCTTAGGTTTTCGGTAGCATGAATAACCTGTCGTTACTCATAATATGTGATTATTATAATTACTCTCATGATAAGAATGATGAAAGGAAAATGGAGACCGGACAGGGATATGATATGTGTATTGGTGGATGTAACGAGTTATATCCCGTGGCCATGGGGCTTAGACTATTTTCTCTGTCCATGTCGATTGAGGATCGTCTATTGTTGTGAGATGGTAGTCAGGTCACAAACTTATTATCCTAAGCACATACTTGTTTATGGGAGCGGGAAGGCTTGTTACACTCTTGTCATGGGTTCTAGCTCTTTCTGAACCGACTGATTCGAGGCGGAGAAAGGTGAGGTCTAAGCACCATACTGAGACCGGATCTCAAGTGTGGGGGCTTGGAGTCCAAGTTTGGACGAGGACCTAGACCCCGTGACAGGAGTAGAATGGGTTGGTCTTGTTTGTGATGGGTACAAACATGGCATGTGTTTCGGGGTACCCAGCTGGGATACATTGGTTCGTGAATCGCCGTTTTCGTGAGACGGTACGACTTGGCTATGGCCTTGCACCGTAGTAAGAACTGGAATATGAAAGATGATAAATTGGTTTTGATTGCTCAACCCTTGCTTGAAAGTAGAATATGTGCTTATTAGAATGGTTAGCTAATGAAGTAATCATGACTGCTAATTACACTTGATCTTAAGGACGTATTTCTAGTAATGTTTTTCGCAAACAAAAAAAAAACAGCAAGCCCATATTGCTTATCATACCCCTTGGAGTCGGGAAACTATTCTCACTAGCCGGATAAGTCTTGCGAGTACATTATGTACTCAGGGTTTATTTTACCCTATTGCAGGTGCAGCTTGAGGAGTAGCTCTTGTGTGGAGGATTCTTCTGGTGGGCACAAACGGATCCTTATATCATTTCTGCTAGATGTTTATTTTCATTCCGCTGTTTAATTATCACACTCTAAACCCTAGTATTATAATAAATAATTTTAAGAACTCTTGTTGTATAAAATGGACTAAGTATTGTAAGCTCGTACTAATTATTGGATTCTAGAGGTAAAACATGGATTGATTCGAGTTCTTCCGTGGGGTGTGCTCAACGTAACTGTCCGATGTAGCTAACTTTTAGGGTGCTTAGTGTCTAGTGGAAGACGAGCGCCTTGGAAAGCATGTTATTTCGGGTGGTTCTGCGATAGCATCCTCCTCCTCCTCGTCCTCGTCATCCAGGACATCCTCGACGATGACCAGTGTCTCGTCCTCCATCCTTGCATCCGAGGCAGGCGGCAGTCAGGTATTGGGGACATCCCCGGCCGAGGGACACACCAGGAGGAGGGGTGACGGTGGCTACGTTGGCTAGGGGCAGCAAGGCGGCGACGGATTTGGGCCGGGGCTCTGTGGGGGCGGCGCCGGAAGTGGGGGAGGAGAGGGCGTCTAACGGCTCCATTGTTGTTGGCATGGCCGTCGCTGGCAGGCTGGAATTGGGGTGGAGCTGTTGCTGGCCGCCGGCGGGCAAGGCTGAGGGAGCACTCCGGGGTGGCGGGCTTGCCGAGGAACGCCGGCTCTGCACCACCGACCACATGAATGGATAGATCATGGCGTGGGGAGCTCAGATCTGGGTCTAGAAGGGGTGGTTCAACTGCTTGGTGGAGGCTCGACGGCAGGGGCCAAGCGGCGCCGCCAGCGTCGTGGGGAGGAAGGGAAGGGTCGGGGGGGGGACGGGTCCATCCACGACTACTGCCTCCAGGGTCTTGAAGAAACTCTCTTTCACCTAGTGTTGGGTTTCCCATTTTCTTTGGCTTGTTGGAACACTCTCCACCTCTTTGTTCCAGTCAACACCGGTCCTTTCCAGATTTTCGAAAGCTTCAAAGATCAACTCCAATTGCCTTTTTTCATGGAGAATGTGGTTACCATGTGCTGGTCAATCTGGACGGTAAGAAATGATGTTATTTTCAGGAACATTCAGGCTTTTAGTGTAGCGATGCAAGACAATTTTTAAAATCAAGTTTGCCCTAGTTATTCTAGGGGCCAAACCAAACTTTCATCCTCTTATTGATTTATGGCTATAAGCTTATGTGTAATCCTTTCTATTTTTTTGTAAGCTTTTTTGTCTCTTGATTTTGTATTATGGAACCTTTTTGTACCTTTTTTTTTGCAATAAAGCACAGTAGGGGGTAAAATCCCTCCTGTTTCCCTTTAAAAAAAGCATGTACTTTGCTTACCTGCTTTGTACAAGCTCGATCGTCCTTGTAGGCTTTTTTTAATTAAAATTATTTTGGAACCTCGGAGAACCTGAGGCATGGCCAAAACTAGAGATTTGTGAGATCTGTAGAGACTTGACCACACCTAGAGGCTAGAGCAAGCAAGCTCCTGTTCGGTGTGCTCGAGGATCAGCCTGTTCGGTTGGCTGGTTCGTATCATTGCTGGTTCGTGAAAAAGTACTGTTGACTGGTTCGTGTGAAAGAAAAATATTATTCCGACTAAATATTTATGATCGTTTACGACAAGCCATAGCTAAACGAACAGGCTGGATATCTCCTTTCCTATACTACTATAGCAGTAAGTAGCTAGGATGAAGTACTAGTATCTCCTTCCGATGTTGATACTAACTAGCTACCTCATCCAATATTCCAGTTCCTAGCTAGATTCGGCAAACTATCTCTCAGTGGTCAGTGCGTGCGTAAAATAATCAAAGAGCCTGAAGTTGCTGCTGCTGTCTCTCGTAATAACATCTCCTGTCAGTCAGCAAGGAAAAATCCGACAATTAGCTAGTAGGGTGATGACTGATGAGCATTGCTCGATCACGAGGTCCTTGATCGAAAACGAAAACGAAGCCTCCGAGGAAGCTGCTGCTGCTGTTGCAGGCCGTAAACGATCGTGATTATTTATCGTTAGTAGGTTTGGTGTGAGAGAAAAATATTGTTCCAACTTATAATCTACGATCCTATACCGGCAAGCGATCAGGCTGACCGGGGTAGCAACCCCTTTCTGGGACGTTTGGCGCTCGGCAGCATGAAGACGTGTTACCGCCGGGCGGCCCGATCCGAATCCGACATGGCCAATCATAACCCAGTCTCTACTCTCTAGTCTAGTCCAAAACCCAAACAATCCGGCTGCACTTGCAACAGGCATCCCCTCCCCAAGACGAAACTAACGCGCTTCGCTCCCCTTGTTTTTGTTGCCGTCGTTGGCGTCGCCGTTATAAAGAGGGCAGCTCCCTGCGCCGTTCGCCTCACCACTCCCTGTCTCCCTCACAACCCAGTCACCCACCACCCCACTGGCCTCTTCTCGTCTCCCAGCAGCAGCCGCGACACAGTCCTGGGGTGCCTCCAGTTTCGGAGCACCATTGCCATCGCCACCAAATATCGATCACCACCCGGCGGCCCGGCCTCCTGCCCTACCATCCGAACCTGCTCTGGCCTGGGCTGCGCGGCAACAACTAACAGCCGAAACTAAGAGGTCGACCGATCGATGGCCGCCAGCGTCGTCGACGGCAATGGAGGCAGCCGGCTGGTGGTGACGTTGCTGGGCCACGTCAAGGAGCTGGCGACGCAGCTGGAGGTGCACCTCGGCGGCTCCTCGCCCGACCTCTGCAAGCACCTCGCCTCGCAGATCTCCTCCATCGCCGAGCGCTCAATCAGCCTGCTCATCACCACCTCCAGCCTCGGCGGCGCCCGGAAGCGCTCCGCCGTCGCCAGCCCGCTCAGCGACGCCTCCGACGCGCCCTTCATCAAGGCCACCAAGAAAAGGTATCCATTCCATCGAGCTTCCCGATTAAGAAACAGAAAAACCCGTCTCTGTTTGCTGAGTTTTTGGAGTGGTTTTATGTGAACTTGAAGGAAGACCATGGACAAGAAGAGGCATGAGGTGAGGGTGAGCTCGGCCGGAGGCGGCGGCGACCACCCGGCCGACGACGGCCACTGCTGGAGGAAGTACGGCCAGAAGGAGATCCTTGGAGCCAAACACCCAAGGTTGCCACTTGACACAGTTCCTATCTATCAAAAGATTTTCTTTTCTTTTGTTTTCCAGACTACAGAGCCTAATCTCATCTGCACGTGTTCTTATCGCAAGTGGAATCGGAATCATTTCCTTCTGCTTTCTTATCTGCTTTGTGTTGTTTGCAAGTGTTTGGCTGGCCTCCACTTATTCTTCATTTCTTTGTCCGATGTTGGGGGGGACAGTGATTCATAGAGCAATTTCCAAATCGGATTGGTGATGCTACTTTGTGCAAATCTTGTTCTGGATGCACAAGCAAAACCTCTTCTTTTTTTCCCCCAATAAACAAGATTCTGGGCCTGAGGCTGACGTTATCCGTGCAAACATTGCAGGGGCTACTACCGCTGCACGCACCGGCACTCTCAGGGATGCGCGGCGACGAAGCAAGTGCAGCGCACAGACGAGGACCCGACGTTCTTTGACGTCGTTTACCTCGGCGACCACACCTGCGTTCAGAGCCAGAGGGCGGCGGCGGGCCAGGCTGCCGCGGACGCGCTGGCGCCCGAGTACAATGACAAGCCGGGCACCAACCTGACGGTGAAGACCGAGGGGTCGACCGTGGAGCCAGAGCAGCAGCTGCAGGGCTGGGACACGTCCGCGCCCTTCTTCTTCTCCTCCACGCCGGCGACGGCGAGCGGGTGCCTCGTGCCGGAGCGCAGCCCCTTCTCCGCGCCGTCCACGTCCGAGAACTGGGGCGTGTCCCCGGCGACCTCGGACTCCAACCACGTTGTCTCTTTCCCGCCTTTCGAGGTCGCCGGCGACGACGTGCAGTTCGTGTTCCAAGAAGTCATGTCAACGATCGACAGAGCCGACGGCGACGGGTTCGTCGACGAGCTCGACATCGACGTCTCAAGCTTCTTCGCGTGATCTGAGTGTAATGCAACTGATGAACACTAGGGAATGGGAATCTGAGGCAGTCAGGTGTGCGGTGTGGGTGTGGCCTCCCTTCAGTAGTTCAGTTGCTCTGCCGTTTGTCCAGGGGCAGAGGAGGGAAGAACACATGTTCTGTCTCGGAGTCTCGGTCAGTGGCAGTGCCTGTCATGAACCTTAGGATATCAGAATATTGAATGCTCCGGTCGAGGGTTGCAAAGTAAATAATTTCGTAATAGTGCTGTCAATTTTTAGGCTAAACATGTGAGTTTCTTCTAGTGAATTTAAACATTTTCCAATATATAATTAATAATGCAGCTTAAATTTGCATGACATTTAATTTGATTAAACCCCATGAATATTCGATCATGTATAATTAGTTTTTTTTTTCAAGAACACTTAGTACATTCATAAGCTTTCCTTTAGCACTGTGCATGGGTTTGCAATAAAGAAAGTGAAATTTACTAAGTACAAGTCTCCATTCAAAGCACAATACGAATGGTGGCATTCCCTCTCTCTTGGGGTTCGAGCTTTACTGTACTCCCTCCGGTCTAGTTTACAAGGATGCATAATTTTGAGAGAGCCTTAAAGTTTGCTATGATAGAGCATCTCTAAGAGTTCTCAAAACACTCCCCTAACTTATTTTAATATTAATAAAATCAATTAATTGATTTTGAATGATTTTTAACTTTGGGTTGGTTCGATGACTTCAGCCTGCTTCTTCCCTAGTCGCCTCCAGACCTTAGCAGCAGAAACTTGGAACATGACCACATTCCTCGTTTCGGAAACATCGTTCCGGAAACATCCACATCATCGATTCGGAAACATTTACGTTCCCATGTTATAAAATAACACCCAAAGTTCACGTTCTCGTTCCCTTGTGGGAACATGGCTACTAAGCCCCAAACCCCAGCGCCCCTCATAGCACCGCAGCGATGCCCCTCTGCATTCATGAGCGACTTATCAGCACATATTTGTATAGTCCAGACCTTATATTATCCAACGCCACTCACGTGGTGTCGTTGAGGCAGTGAAGCGGGTGTGAGTGTCCAGTGTACTGGTTGCTCAATGGTTTCTGCAGATGAAGCAGGTTTGTTGTTCAATTTGCCAAGAGCTCATGGCAGTGTGGTGTCAAAACTGCTAAATTAACTTGATTGCTCCATTATTGAACCCATCAGCCTACTTGGACGCTTTGATACATATCGAGGGGCCATGCATAGCTAATAATAACTGAGTTTACTAGTTGAAGGATATTGATGATGGAGCAAATATCTTATTAGTGTCCATAAGGTCTTTGGGAGCATACCATACCAATATAATCATAACATTGGCCTGCTTGTCCTTTTTGGTAAAACATTAAACTGGCAATTGTTGGAAGTTCTCGGAGAAGAAATTGAGTACAACACAATTCTCTTTACAATGCTATATATTTGTCAATGAAGGGACTGTCGTATTGTATTCGCTAATTTCAATTTTTACTGTTATATCTTGTTTTTAAAAAAAAACTATGACATTTTGTAAATTTTAATGTAGAATTGAAGATTGTGGGCAAAACAGTATGAAATTGTAAAGACATATATGATGTTTTGGTCAAGGCTGCTCTTTATTAGGTATTTTTCTATCTACAATATTATACATTTTTTCTCCAAAAATAAAATATTATACATGTTGCTTGAGCATTTTGAATTCATATAGTCATTTGTGCTCTTTGTTATATCTATTATGCACCACTAGTTAGATTTCTAACTTTCAATTATTATAAAACAAATTTACCTCATTTCTGGATATGCCACACAGTCGGTGTCTGATGATATCAAGATATGAAAAAAACCCAACTAAAACTAAGTATGCATGATGCACACCACGCAATTCATTCCACTTGTACATCTATGAATGGAGCGACAAACATAAACAATTTTCATGGCTAAAAAAATATGAAAATGATTAACATGGTAATTGGTAATCAAAGCCTTTGGATCCATAAGACTAACAACTAGTTAACCAATTTTTAGCCCCTAATAAAGATCCAAACTGGTAGACTAATTATTAGTCATCTAGTCATGTACTAGTTGTTAGGCTTGCTAGTCCATTAGTCTACATATACGAGCTAATAGGATTAGTTTCTTAGTAGTTATTGGTTAGAAAAAAAAACAAATGTGAATGAACAAAATAAGTATATTTTTTTATTAATTATTAGTTTGTGGACTCCAAATTTGTTTATGAATGAACTTATGTATCTATTATCCCGTCTACGATCATGGCATAAATTTACGGGGTCGCTAACACATCTTGTACACGTAACAGAATCAGTTCATAGTCCTTTTTGTCAGAAGCAAGCAATCAAAATTCAAGTATTCCGTCGTAACGACGTTCCAATGTGGCTATGCGACAATCGCACATCGTATGTATAGGAGTATATATACTACGCGCGAGGCTATCCACGAGATTTTCATGGGCGGCTGGAAGACCCGAAGAAAATTCAGTGCACCTGTCAGGGCTGTCACACCACTAGAATCTCTTCCTTATCCTGCTTCCAGATCTTGTGAGATGGGGCATGTGTGGCGTCATGCTTCGGGACCATGCAAGCGCCATGCTTGCGCAAACATACAAAAGCCAAGGAGTGGGGAGACAAAATGCTTCGGGACCATGCAATCACCCTTGATTTCAACGATAGACAAAGCCAAGGAATTTCTTGCTGCCGCCGAAACAAACAAAACAGAGATAAGGAATTTCTTTATAAAATAAAATGAGTCCTGTCAATGGTATTGGTATAGTACGTCCTCTATCCGTATATTACTACATCTTCTCTCTTCGTTTGTTTAATAATAATGGGGAACATGTACACAATCGATCCACCTTTTTCAAGCAGAAATGCATCCTACCAGACTTTCGTGTGTGGATCGGAGCACACGTGCATCCACGGCACACGCAATTTACTCGATCCGTATCTCTGATACCTTAGCTTAAACTATGTTTTTCTCTTACAACAAATCAGATTCAGCTGGTTTATTAGCTGTAGAAACCATTAGCCGAGCCTACCTGGCTACTACTACTGCCTGATACGAAGATTTCCATGAAATTAATAAGCACCGTGGAGCACGGCACCTGTTGCAGTGCACACACGCGCTGCCTGCCATACTACGCGGCTCTCGTAGCGCGTCGCTCGCTCGCCCAAGTCGCCAGCACAGCAGCGTCGCTCCCACCGCGCGGCCCCGCAGAATTCCGCGGTTTTGTAGAGTAGACGTGGTAGACTGGTAATAGGGCTCCATGGAACACACATCCAAAAGGACAAAATCCTGGGGCCGCCTCGCCGGTTGCTGGTCTGGTTCCTTGTGGAATGCTAAAAGCTAGCGTCCTTAATCTATACCCGTACTGCTGCAAGTTGCTACGTAGTGCACAAAGGCCGATGCATTTGCGATCAAGTTGCTCTGCTCCATGTATCGGTCCACTTGGTGCCGTATGAATGTATAATGATGATACTTGTTTCAGGATGGACCGGAGGACCTCGTCGCTTCGCTTCAATTCAGCAACACATCCATGCATGTGTTACATTAGCGGGCTTCAATTCAACTTTGTGCAGGGATCAGGACACTAGTGCAGGACTGATCATCAGTCCCGGTTGGAAAAACCCCTTTAGTCTTGGTTTCTCAACTGGGATTGTGAATCTGGAACTAAAGGCCTCCCTTTAGTCCTGGTTTTGGAAACCAGGGACTGAGAGTGGACTTTGATGAATAAGACGAGTGGTCAAATTGAGGGTCGAAAAAGTCAAACGAACTATAATTTAGAACGGATTTAGTACTAAACTAGTAATTAAAATAGAAGCCTCGGTGAATATTAATGGAGTGTTTTCGTAGTCACATCATATTTTGCATATCGATGTACTAGCATAGTAGAAGAACAAGTGGCTGTACTACTGTACACTGTGTAGCCAATAAAGTACTCCTTCACTCGTAAGGAAGAGAGACGAGTGATTCAATTTAACGAGTGCACCTTTCAGAGTTGGAAAAAATATACGGTTGATTTCATTGTTCTTTTCTTCAGAACTCCAAGTCTCGATCTAAAAACATCACTCCGGCTAAACTTGTTATAATTTAGTATAAATGAACCTAACCATAAGATATATCTCTCTCGCTTTCTCCGGTCATTCATGCCCACTACGTACAAATTAAGCAGAAAAAATGGACAACCAAAGCGTGTGGCCACAAAAGTTACAAACGGTCACATGCAGAACAGTGGGATCGGATGAGCATATATATAACAAAGACGCGTTGAAGTAATATAAAAGCAGTAGAGTACACCTTTTCAGCGATGAGGCAAAAGAACAGAAGTAGAAAAATACTATTCGTTCCCTTTGTTTTTTTTTTGGCTCCGTACTCCACCAATCCAGCACGCCGTCCCTGTCATGCATCATGGTGGGGGCCAGCGGGAGCACAAAAATAGCAACTCTGCGCGTGTTTAGTTGGGTGAAAATTCCTCCATTGCCATTGAAAACTATAACAATCTCTTCGTTGCCATTCAAAATTACACGTTTGGAAATTTTCCGGACGACAGTCAGCCCAAGCCAGCCACACTTTGTTTTCGAAGCCGCGCTGGACACGCTCCCAGAAGCCGCCGCCGCCGCCAAGATCGTTTCCATGCCTCGGCGTCCATACCAGAGAGCAATTAATGTTCAATTCCATGGCGGACGAGCAAACACGGAGGCAGCGCTCGACGCTAGACAAAAATGTTTATCTCGCGATTTCTAACCAAAGCGGGCGAGCGTGCAATTAGCTTTTTTTCATCTAGCGGGCGTCCGCGACATTTAATGCTCCATGCACGTATCATAAGATTCGATGTGATGGACACTAAACACGGGCTCTTTTGGATAATTGGATTGAATGGTTGGCTGCACATGCTGTTACGTCTAATTATGCCCAGCACATCTCTGTTCTCTATCTCATACCAGAACTGCTAGCGTCCCAACGCTCGCGGTAGCTGAGCCTCCCCGCGACCCTGCG